ATCAATGTCACTGTATTCACCCTTCTCATCGATCAGAATAGCCATTGCTTTCCCTCGGCTCGAAGCTAATCTGCATGAATAAGCCCATTGCTCATCTTTCCTTACCTGATCGGTGGGCTTACCAACTTTTCCATGACCTTTGGGGATAGTTTGGGATTTTCGGTTGCACTTCACGAAGTCCTTCTTCACGTAAGTTTGGACTTGAGTCTTGGATTCGTCGAATCTGACCTTCTTCTTGATCACGTTTGATGCAACCTTGTGGAATGTCCCCTCGTCGTCACTCCAATCGTGGAGAAGTGCAGGAGTAGCCTTTGAGCTTGGTGCTTCAGTATTCGGAGCAGTGTTGAACAGATGAGGATCGTGACGTTTGTTGCATTTGTCTCCATACCGACACTTGCCCTTGGCCCAATGCCAGCATGGTTCATCAATCTTCTTGGTCTTGTTTGCAGGAGACTGACTTCTTGGAGTTCCTGGCTTTCGACCGTTACCTTTAGCATTCTTGTTTGCGTCGAACACCTTTTGGTCGTGACTGTATTCGCAATCTTTGCCCTTTCTGCATGCTTTCTTGATGAAATGGAAATGGCATGGGATTTTCTTCTTGGATCTTGGACTGGCACTTCGGCTGTTTGCTCGATCCTTTCCTTTCCCTTGACCTTTCCCTTTCCCTTTTGCATGCTGCTTAGGCTGAGGAGATGGTAGAACCGGGGCTGCATCGGCCTTGGCCTTCGCCTTGGGTGCTGCCTTCTCCTTTGGAGTAGCCTTAGGCTTGGCTTTTGGGTTCGCATCCGGCGCAGCAGCAGTCGGATTTGGTGCCGGAGCTGAAGGTTTGCCGCCACCCGCAAAATCTCTTGCATACTTTTCTCTAGCGGCGACATGCTTGTCCTCTCTAATTCTGGAGATATGTCTTTCGATGACGTCCAAGAGATAGCGATAGCTTCGTCTTTGGTCTCCCTCCATCCATGACTCGTACTGCTTGATGTCGAACATCATAAGGCTCGAATTTCGAATCTTCTTGTACAAAGCATCACGAAGCCAATCGTCAGGAGGTACATCATCCGGCATCATGTTAGATACCATCTCCATCCATTTCTCGTAGAACACTTCTAAGTTTGAGTCACCGAGATACTTCATCGATACGATGTGCTCCATAGTGAAGGCTGTCTCTCGCTGACCTGGGGTTCTGAAGTGCTCCAAGATCATAGCCAAGATTTCCCGTCCCATGACATAGGTTCCTCTTCGACTGTGACTTTGTGTCCTCAATCTCAGTTTGATCGCTACATGACGAGCAACATCACCGGCTTGGGCTATCACGTTTGACAATGCGATTGACAACTTGGCGTCAATTGACTGGTACCGTTGCCCTCCACTGTCATTCAATAGCTCGATGTCGGGATTTGGTCGAATAGCCGGTTGTAGCCATGCTTCCCATGCAGCTTTGTCCCCATCATTGGCTGCAAGAACAACACTCTTAATGAGATCTGATTGCCAAACCCCAAGATTCTGCTGTTTCGGCCATGGGCTGACATAGACTTTGTCAGCCTCTCTTCTTGACATTCTTGGCACCTCTTCTGCCGTGTAAGCCGCAGTGGAGACATCATCTGCCGAATCACGTTGTGATCCTCGAACAGAAGGCAATCCTGGAGGTTCAGGAGGTGGTCCTGGACCGTTGGGCCCGAAAGGGTCAGGAGGTCCATCAGGGTCAGGCGGACCGCCCCATCCACTCGGTGGTTTGTAGTAGTCCCTCTCAGTTCCGTCAGCGATCCTATTGTCGACTTCTCTCAACAGATCAGTGATTCTTTTGTTTGATTGAGAAGGTTGTCGTTGAGGAGGTACAGCATGTTCGCGATAGGATTTGGCTACGTTCGTTTCATGGTCCAGCTCCTTGTCAATCTGCGAAACCCAAGACTTCAGAATCGCGTTTTCACAGTTAGCCTCACTCACGTCATTCTCCAATTTGTCGATGACTAGTCTTGATGCGAGATCATAGTTGGGAATGCCTGCAGAATAGGAGAGCGTGTCAGGGTTGACCCTTGACATGGATATTTCAGAATCCTTGAGACTCTTTCTCATTTCATCTACTTGACGCTTCATGTCCATGATCTCAGAATTCTTAATACCGATCTTTTCATCTCTATCCTGGATTTCTCCCATGAAAATGCATGATCTCTCATATTGTTGAACACCACTAGCCAATACCATTTTGCGCTCATTTTCTAGTTCAGATTTCAGAGTTCGGACCTCGGTATTGGTGAGGGACGACGCCCCTACATCCGCAACTTCAGTCAATCTTTCTTTTAACAACAAGTTCTCTTGTAAACATTCATGAACTTCTTGATCTAGGTCCTGAACCCTGATTTGAGCGATCTTAGCTTGATTACGCAGATCTTCGACAAGCATCTCATCGGGGCCACGACCGTCGGTCGTAGAACCCAGAGTTAACGATCTCCGTAACTTCGTGTTCTGCAACTTGATCTCGTCCTTCAACTCGCAGTTCATCTTCTGCTCATTGGCGTAGAGCTCCTCGTAGTGCTCTGCCCTTGCGATCGAGTTCGCACTAGCCTGTGATTCAATCCTCAAGTGTGATATTGCTTCGGCCTCTTGGCTCCTGTATGATGCAAACCTTTTAATGGTGTCATGTTCAGTGTTTCGATGCCTCAGATCACTTTCCAATTTTGCCTGATTTGCCTCGAACACCTTCTTCCTAGATTCCCTAGTGATCTCATCAATACTGCTTTCATACAGCTCGGCCTGTTTCCGAGACTGAACCAAAGCTTCACTCAATAATTGATTCCGTTCAGACAACTCATGAACTGCAATTGATTGCTGCTGGCTAATCACTTCAAGTTGATTACTAGAGAAGGATGCCATCTCGGATCGATTACGATACTCCATGATTGAATTCTGGAAGTCTGTTTGCATTTCCTGACCTTCATTGTATAGTCGATTGGCAATATCGGTGGTTAAGACATTGGTTTGATGAAGTTGTTGAAGTCTTGCCTCCGTATTACCTAGTAGTCCTTGAAGGTGATGTACTTCATCCTTGTACTCTTCCTGGATCTCCATACCACGTTGATGGATCCGTCGTGCACCATGTTCCATGAGGGCACCTCGGCGTTCAAGGTCTTGGATGCGCATTGTTGCACCTTCATCTTCCTGAGATGCTACCATTAGTTCTGCTTGATATTCTGCAACCTCATTTGCGGAACATGATAGTCTGTTGTTAAGTGCATTGACCTCGTCAAGTACATTCTGGTTGTGTTCCCGAAGATACTCAGTGAATCTGATCTCGATGTCATGAATCAGTTGATCCCTAGATGCAGCGTATGCTTCCATGTTGTTCAGCTGATTACGTAGGGATTGACACTGTGCCCGTAGTTCTTCTATCATGGCAATAGGGTCACTAGCCACAGAAGTATCTGTTGATCTCCTCTTAACACGACTATCCCCGGTCCTCTCACCAATTCGGTCGGTCACGGCCCTGGTGGATCTGTCCCTTGGAGTAGTCCGTCCTCGAGATGGTCGATGCACTTGACGGACAACATCACTTCGAGCACTGTTTCGAGAAGATCTTGGTGTACTTTGGGTGGATATTCTCCGCCTGTTTGACGTAACTTGCCATCCGGACTGTGTAGTTCGGGTAGAACGTATCCCACCACTGTCTGCCGTGTCACCAGGGGATGATTGATTGACCTCCTCGACCGGCATGGCAGTGTTCTCATTGAAGGTAAATTGCGTGGTGCGCGAATCTCCGCTGCCGCCTTGCATCTTTGCGATGATGAGCTGATTGGTCCTTTGCGTCCTCAATCAATTGCTCAGAAGGTCCGGCTACCAGCACGCAGGCACCACTCTCCCGGCGGGAGAAGTGAGCACTACGGCTGATAACCTGTGAACAAAACGATCCTTGTTCTGGATATCCTTGATGTTGAAGTACCCTTGTGCTGTCAACCGAACCGATCAAGACATGAAGCAGCGCAGCGCATTATTTCCACCTTGCAATGGGGTCTTGAGCCATATGGCGTTCCAATGCATTTACTGGTGCAAATGTACAGTGAATGTATCTACATTGTCATCTCGTTCCCTTTAGCATAATATATATATATATTTAATATATATATATAGATGGGTTTGCAATTCATCCCACCAAAAGTTGTCATTTTTCAGAGGATCAACAAACCACCAAGCACTGTCAGGGGTTTGGCCAAGCGGATCGCCCTTGAGGTCTCGCAAAACGGCTGCTCGACAAAAGCGTTCGAAGACTCAGTGCCAAGGGCGCCTCACTTGGCAATGTCCTTACGATGCAACTTCACGCAGATTTCAAATGGGATTGGCACCTTGAAATCATGTCAAATAGAAAGTGCACTTGCAGTCAAGTGTGAGTGCGTTCAGTTGCGATTTGACATGAGACATTCCGGGGATGCACAGATGCTATCCAGAGAGTTGCGAGCTACCAGACGTCCCATCCGTCGTGCAAGGCCCATTGAGCAGTGGCATCAAGACGCTGGACTGACTCTGACGCGGCCCCTGCGACACCCATGCGGAATTCCAAGGTAGCGCAGTGACTGAATGGAAAGAGCATGATGGATCATCAAGTACAGATTGAAAAAAAGGCCATCCATAGTGAAAGAGGTCACAATAAAATGATGAACCATGATGAAGCTGAAACACGTTTGGCCGCAAAGCAAAGATGTCGCAGCTCTCAACGTGCAGCCCAAAGGAGGCTGAAAATTGTCTGCGCTGACTCAATTGACTGCAAGAAGACAACGGGGAAAGCAGTGCCAGAGAATCGCAGTATACTGGCGGTTTAGGAACGGTCAGCATGTTGAACATCGGTATGTTGATTGACGGCCTTTCCATTGCGACGGCTGATTTGGCTTGGTGCTTTCAAAGGCGCTCACCAAGTAAGAGCGAGCTTCACACCCAAAGAAACACAAGGAGGATGACACCTGTTCTTCATTTCATCTCATTCTGACATGAAGCCACTGCTCATTTTAGATCGCCTGCGGCAACTGTTTGTTAGCTACTTTCAAATCGCGATGTCTGTCCGGGCAGCATCTCAATGCAGTTCGAACCTCAAGGTTGCAGATAATCAACGCAGCTCCAAGTGCTTGCAAAGGTTTGCAGTGCAAAGTTCCAAATGAAAAAATGAACACGATTCCTTCCAGAGGCCGTTTTTTAATGTTTTTTGCTTGCTCAAACTTTCTCCAGCAAAGCCTTCAGACAAATTGTTCTAGTTCTTTGCGTTCAGCTGTGCAGTTCTTTTAGGCTGGGGACGCCCTGCCATGCATCTCTCTGATGGGACTGGCCGGGATTGGTGCGCTCAAGTCTTTTACAAAGAGCAGCTGTAGAGCATGAAGAATGTGGACAGGTTTGGAGCTATCGCAGCCACGATAAAATTCCAAGCAGTCCGTTGTGGTCAGTTTGCTTAATATGTTTGCATACAGGTGATACCTACAGGCGGTCTTTCAGTGTCACCTAGTACATGAAGCTAGTGATATGTAGTGATATGTAGTGATTATATTTGAGCCCACAAGCCGCACAAGCCGCAAACCTTCAGAGGTACATTCTTGGAGATGCGCGATTTAAGAACGGACGGTGGACACCTCCTGTCAAGTACCTGCCTTAGATTGCAGAAAACCATCAAAAACCGCTGGACGCTTCACAATGAGTTATGTGGCAGATGTGGATGCCGGGCACGATGTTTATTCAGAAAGGATCTATCGCAAATGCCCACATGCCCTTGAAATGAATTCTTGCCGGTGGCGCAATCACCGCAATGACAAGATTGTTTCTTCTCAAGTAGTTGCGATCTCCAGTTTCAGAGTCAGCGCAACGTGGCGATTGGCAGAATCACATCAAATTTGAAACGCCCAAAAAAGTCACGTTTGGACAGTTTTGGTTTGAGGCCTTTTGGACGGAGCAGTTCCAGCACAGAGGCTCCTTTGACGCTCATGTTGCATCCGCTTTGCAAAGCTGAATTGTTCAACTCTCTCCAGCGATGTCCGGCTTGTGCTGCTTCCCTTTTGAACTTGCCACACCCTGTGCATTACCAATTCATTACCAGCTCTGTCAGACTTTGTTTGAGCTTGCTGGCTTTGATGATAGTGTTCAGCAGACTAAATAGATTCTTGTTGGACCGATGTGCTTTGCAGAGGAGCCCCGGAAGACAATGCCAAGCTGCAGGCAAGTTGGACGGCAGGGTTAGGCCATTTGGCAAGGCTCGGGCCTACAAGATAGAAACCCGAAAAACATAAGCGGGACTTTACTTGATGCGCTGGGATTAATTAACGTAAAATGTTTAGACTGGAGCCTATTCTGTTACTGCTATTGCTCCTATATATGTTATTGAGTTATTGAGTTATTGATTCTTTGGCGAAAGAAAGCTGTGAGGATCTCTTCTGAGAAGCGATTGCAGACTCTGTCGACGTCAAGGAATGTCCGGCCGATGTTGGGGCCTCAGGAATTTGACCTGGATAATTCATACCTCTTTTGCATTTTCAACCAGCCCCTGCCAAGGCCACCCAAAGCAGTTATTGAACGATGGCGGCATCAGGCGCAGCATTGGGAAAGTTTCGTCAAAGAAACAACAAAGCTGAATGATAACATTGTCAGCGATTTTTTCATTCAGGGATGCAGCCACGGCTGGGGTCAGTTTCCATGAACGGGATCGGATGGGTTGTAGGTTTGCTGTGGGCAAGTTGGGCTCGATAGGCAGATACTGCGAATGCCTTGTCGCAGACCCCAAGCGTCCTGTACTTAGAAACCCGCCAATTGTGCCAGACCCCTGTCATGTCTAAGTCTGCTGGCTCACTAAGCCCATGTTTCTTTTTGTGGCTTTAAAGGGCTTCCGGTTGTCCCGCCGACCCCAGACACGCATGGCAACGGCACACCCCCATTCACTTCAAGGCGTGCGTGATGATTCCACCCCCCCACCCGAAGAAAGCGGATTGTATTTCCGAATCAGCATGACACAATCGTAGTGGGGGTGCCACAACACAAAGTGAAAAGAGAAGAAAGGAAGAACCACCAAATTACAACCAGCGACACAGAGAAAAGCAGGCCTGTTGTTGGTCTTGCTACTTCTTGTCGGTTTTAATACACCTGGATTGGAGATGAACGGCCCCCATGGTGGCAGGACCTTCAACTTCCTACACCATTCCAACACTGGGAACAGAACCTGTAAGAAATGGTTCAGTGCTTGATGGTGATGATTCCGTGATGGTTCAAATCACTTTTTGACGAGGAGCAGGAGGAGGACGGAGACGACAACAGGGACTGTGACGACGACCGCCAACACGGCGACTACCACGACCACCATGATGACCACCACGATGACCACCGCAATGACAACCACAACCACGACAACAGAGACGAAAGGGTGAGGATGAGGATGATGAGGATGAGGATGATCATGATGATGAGGATGAGGGATGATGATGATGATGATGATGGTGGTGGGGTTGGTGTGGTGGTGTTCATGGTGGTTCATGGTGCTCATGGTGCTCATGGTGCTCATGGTGCTCATGGTGCTCATGGTGTCATGGTGCTCATGGTGCTCATGGTGCTCATGGTGCTCATGGTGCTCATGCTCATGGTGGTGCTCATGGTGCTCATGGCTCATGGTGCTCATGGTGCTCATGGTGCTCATGGTGCTCATGGTGCTCATGGTGCTCATGGTGCTCATGGTGCTCATGGTGCTCATGGTGCCCATGGTGCTCATGGTGCTCATGGTGCTCATGATGCTCATGATGCTCATGATGCTAAAGATGCTGAAGATGCTAAACATGCTAAACATGCTAAAGATGCTAAACATGCTGAAGAAACTAAAAATGCAAAACATGCTGAAGATGCTAAAAATGCAAAAAATGCAAAACATGCTGAAGATGCTAAAAATGCAAAACATGCTGAAGATGATGGTGGTGATGACGGTGGTGATGACGGCGGTGATGACGGTGGTGATGCGGTGGTGATGACGGTGATGGGGGTGACGGTGGTGTTGGTGGTGTTGGTGGTGAAGAGGAAGATGGGGAAGATGAGGAAAATGAGGAAAATGATGAGGACGATCGGGAGAAGGATGAAGCGGAGGACGAAGCGGAGGATGGTCATGATGCGGAGGAAGATGCTGGTCTTATTGAGAGGGATTCGATGAGGATGTGGCTGATGGTGGTGATGATGAATGATACATATGCATGATGCATGATATCTCGACATGTAGCGTCAAGTTACTTCAGTTCTCCCCGTGTGCAGGATTGGACCGTTCACTATCGATTGTGTGTTTGAGGGATGGGCCCTCTCAGCATTCGATTCCTTCTTGGTACATCTTTAAACAGTGGCCGGAACCATCAGCGCAAATTAGATTTAATCACTCATTTTGCGGCGTTTTTACCTGGCTGCGCTGTGCTTAGCCAAGAAGAACCGCCCCCAACAAATTCACAGGACCCTCTGAGCGCGCAAGCACGACATTTAGGCACACTGCATTTCCCAAATCACAAAGGGAACCCCGCATCTTGCAAACCTGCGCGCGGTTCTTGAAAGGAGCACTCCTTTTGTTTCTGGTTCCAGGTAGAATGCATTCATCGCAAGTGCTGCAGGATTATTGTTTTGGGATTTGCTCCTACAGAACACCAGATTGCGCGAAAGAATGCTGCATGTTTTGCAAGGCAACTGTTAATTTAAAGATCACCGTTTCTCCAAAGAAATCCAGTTGCTTAAAGTTGCAAATATCGATGTCAGTCTTTGATGGGCTTTGGTATTTCGCAGCAAGGCTGCGTTTGTCGGAAGAGGCTAGCGGCTAGCGCAATATTTCAACGAACCTTTTTTGGAAGAAAGTTGCACGTCATTCCGTTAAAAGGGTGCTGCACGTTTAGAAGAAGCACTTCAAAGTTGATACTGCCAATTCCAGAAGCACGCAGGTATGTCTTTGATGATTGTTCCTGTTCAGTTCTTTTCTGAGGTAATTTTGTCCTCTAACAAAACGCAGCCGCATCGTTTGAATGACTGAAGGAAGGCACCTTTTTACAAGAAGCAAATACCTGTAGCGAAGAATTTGCAATGTTTGAAAGGTAAGTTGCCTATCTCGCACAAAAACCTTGTGCATCCGTTCGCTCAAAATCACATGCCTCTGTTTTCACTTTGAAGTCGTGGTTTTTCGTTCGGGATATTGCAAGTGTTTTTCGGGTGGAAAGAAGAAATCAACAAGCCTTCAACAAAGGATGGGGGGGTCCCAGGCGACAGTCTGTAAGAGCTTTTGCTGGTTTCCCGCGTTGCCTTCCTTTCCTCGAGTTGATCAAAGCCTTCAGCTACTGTACTGGTGGTGTCGAGTTTGCAAGGCATTGCTGTAGAGGCTGAACACCAATTGTACAACTATGATAACTATGCGCCCGTAGAAGGCGCCGCAACCGTTTGTGGAATGCGCGCTGCACCTTCTGTGGAATGATGCGGCTTGCAAATAAAAATAGATGAGTGACGATCAAAACCCCCGCAGAGGAGTTTTATACAAACGTATGAATGGAGTATGTGGTTGTAAATTTGTAGTGCGTTTTGCCTGGGAGGCGCAAGAAAGCGCAAGGGCGGGCGCAAGATATATTAATATCGTTGTTCTTTTCTGTATCAGTGAACATCTGCTGCTGTAGCGGCTCAGAGCTGGTAGGCAGGACAGACGGAACCATACCTACCAAAACGGAATCAAATTCCAAGAGGTATGGTAGAAGCAGAGTGTATACACAATTATACACTTATAAAATTTGATTCCCAAAACGGCCCTTTCGAGCCGAAAAGCAGCTTTACGGGAATCAAATTTCAAGAGGTATGGTAGAAGGAGAGTTTATACACAGAGAAAATTTGATTCCCAAAACGGCCCTTTTGAGCCAGAAAGAAGCTTTACGGGAAATTTCCAGAGGCATAGTAGAAGGAGAATTTATACACATAGGAAATTTGATTCCCAAAACGGTTCTTTCGAGCCAGAAAGCAGCTTTACGGGAATCAAATTTCAAGAGATATGGTAGAAGGAGAGTGTATACACAGAGAAACTTTCATTCGCAAAACGACGCTTTTGAGCCAGAAAGAAGCTTTACGGGAATCAAATTTCAAGAGGTATTATGGTAGAAGGCGAGTGTATACACATAGAAGGTTTGATTCCCAAAACGGCCATTTCGAGCCAAAAAGCAGCTTTACGGGAATCAAAAATTCAAAAGGAATGGTAGAAGGAGAGTGTAAACACATAGAAGGTTTGATTCCCAAAATGGCCATTTCGAGCCAAAAAGCAGCTTTACGGGAATCAAATTTCAAGAGGTATGGTAGAAGGAGAGTGTAAACACATAGGTTTGATTCCCAAAACGGCCATTTCGAGCCAAAAAGCAGCTTTACGGGAATCAAATTTCCAGAGGTATGGTAGAAGGAGAATGTATACACATAGAAGGTTTGGTTGGATTTAGTGAAGTTTTTTTGCCTTTGCAATGCCTGTTTTGAACCCAAGTCTGGCGCAAGGTAAGCGCAAGTTTCTCTTTAGGTTGTTTTGCCAAGTTGGACAGGCATCGCTACAAGGCTCCGGCAAAAACATTTTAACAGCTCCGTAGCTTTCGGTATCTTTTTGAAATTTGATTCCTGTAAAGCTTCTTTCTGGCTCGAAATGGCCGTTTTGGGAATCAAATTTCCTATGTGTATACATTCTCCTTCTACCATACCTCTTGAAATTTGATTCCCGTAAAGCTTCTTTCTGGCTCGAAATGGCCGTTTTGGGAATCAAATTTCCTATGTGTATACACTATCCTTCAACCATACCTCTTGAAATTTGATTCCCGTAAAGCTGCTTTCTGGCTCGAAATGGCCGTTTTGGGAATCATGACCTATGTGTATTATATATTTGCCCTCTACAATACCTCTTGAAATTTGATTCCCGTAAAGCTGCTTTCTGGCTCGAAATGGCCGTTTTGGGAATCAAATTTCCTATGTGTATACACTCTCCTTCTACCATACCTCTTGAAATTTGATTCCCGTAAAGCTTCTTTCTGGCTCAAACGGGCCGTTTTGGGAATCAAATTTCCTCTGTAGGTAGAGCTCCTCAGAATCTTCAACTTCTGAGAATTCGAGCTTCGAATCATCAGTTTTTTGCTTCCGAAGGCTAAAAAAGTTTGTGTTGCACAGCGTACTGGATCAGTGAACACCCCCTTGGATTGAGCAACTTTTTGCGGCAATCAATTCTTAAATACATATTTAATCCATGTAATGGAACACAATAAAAACCCTGAAGAGCGCAAGGAAGCGCAAGGGCGGGCGCAAGGTCATTTCTAATAACACACCGGCAACTATGTTTTGATCAACCCCCAGATACATTGATGGATTCTTGCATGTGCATCCTTCAAAACCTCTGTGTGTAATTACGTTTCTGTGTTGAAGCTTCTTTGTGTAAACGCATTTGCAGGCAAAAGCTTATGTAAAGGCGCCAAAAGAAACGGATGTCATGCCAAGATTCAGAACTGTCAAGAGAAGAGATCAAGAAAAAGGTAGGGGGAAGATTCAGAACTGTCAAGAGGAACGGCTGCCAAGAGCAAGAGATGTCAAGTGGAAGCCGAGGCAGAAGAAGATGTCAAGATAAGGAGATGTCAATAAGGAAGAGGCGTCCAGTGAAAGAGGTGGCGCCAGAAAGGGTTGCAACATGTTGCAACGAGAAAGGGATGTCGAGAGAAAAAAGTTTCCAAGAGGAAGAGATGTCAACGGACAAAAGACATCAACAAAGCTGAAACAGACAACGGCTTTGGGAACCAGGTGGTCGTGCTGCCCTCCTCTCGGCTCTCCCTTTTCCTTGCGAAACTTCCGCCGCCCGGCTTGCCCGCGCTCTACTTCGATTTTGTTTACGGCTTACTTATGTTTTTACCAATGTTTGACGAGCGGTTAACTTACGATCCCTTCATGAAAGCGTTTATGTTGGTTCTGCCGTGTCTTCAGCGTCTTCGATTTATGTATATAGGTTCTTATCCTTCAGATCTGGTCGCTGGAGCTGGAGCCCGTTACAACAAAGATATTCTATATTATTTGAGCTTAAACCATCCGAAGGGAAAACTACCACCGAAACATGTTTCGGAACCCTCCTAAGCAAACATTGCTCCTCCGCGCGCCTTTTTAGCTGTCCTTTTACATATTATACACCGAAGCGCCAGAAAATTTCAGATTGCAGTGGCACCGGGTCCTGCAACCAGGAAAGGTTGACCCTGATTGCATCCGGAACTGTCACCAAAAACCGTTCGCGGCGTAATTCGAGCCATGCTGAATCCATAGATATGTTGGGGTATTTTTTCTGAGCTTCTGAATTGCTGGTCAGTCGTGGTTTCAGCACATTGCGGGACCATGCTGTTGCAAATTGGTCCAATGTGTGCCGTGTACCGTGCAGCCTTCAAAGCTGCAGTCGGGCAAATACATTGCGCCACGGCTACAGAATATCTGGACAGAAGCAATCCAGCCACCTTTAGCCCCCCCCATTCAACAAGGGAGGTGACTTTTGATTTGATCCCGGGTTTTGTTACGCGTGTTTTTTTTTGGGTTCCAGATGGATGTGGACCCTGCTGTGCGGCTACCAGAAGCACCCGTGGACACGTCTTAGACTCAGCGCATCTTCTCCAGCTTAAAGTTGTGGCCACCGCCTAGCCAGCTGCGAACGACGAGGTACTCACATTTTTCGGATACGCGAATGGTCCGTCGCTTGGCATTCAGCCCTAGCCTCAGAGATTTGCACTGGTTTGCATGTCAGCTGGCTGATCACTTGATGCGCCAAGCACATGGCGCATTTTGATTTGCGGGTCATCACAGGGACAGAAACCGGTGTTGCGGTTGCATGTTTGACCTCGGTGCCTGGCGAGGAATTCTGCATTCTGCCTATAGGCATTCTAATGTGTGATTTTATTCAAAACTGAGTGTTGTTATCAGCAACCTTGACTGTAACTTTAGCTCGGCTGCAGTTTCAGGTGGGCAACCACGACTCACACTCATCGGGCAGAACCCTTAGCTTTTCATCGGCTTGAAATCAAAGCCTTTGCTCAGAAACACTTCGGGTCTGCAGTCTGGTATCTTTTCATCGGTGCCTGATCCTTGTCAACATCAGTGCTGTAGGGCTACGGGAGTTCTGTCCTGAGGGCAACGCCACGCAGTTTCACAGCAAGCCGCCAAACAAAACTGCGGCTCACATTAAGCAGATCTTCGCACCATGACATTGGTCTATGTATTGGGTGGAAGCGACATGGAAGACATAATATGTAGGCATGTAGAAGCGCCGAGAAGCCTCCAGCAGCCTGGCGTGATTTGTTTCACTGGCCACAAGGCCCCGAAAAATCATGCCCCGTTTGGGTAATCGGCACGTGTGAGATTCCTGGCTAGCTCAGAAGCAATGGGAAACGCACAGGTCAAGGAAAAAAGTGAGTCTCGGCACGGGTAAAGATAAAGTTCTGCAACCACTTCTCTCGACGTGTTCATATGCGTATTTTTTCTGTGAAGTTGATTTCTTATTTTAATTCTGTTTTGCAAGTTCAATCCGAATAAACAAGGGGTAACAAGGGCCGGCTCTTCATGAACCAAAGCCCTTCACTGAAACGCGCAAACACGCAACCACAAGAACAACCACAACCACAACCAACAACGACCGACGCCGACGCCGCCGACGACGACGACCACGGCGACCATGACGACGACCACCACCACCATGACGATGACAACGACCACCACTACCACGACCACGACGACGACCACGACGACGACGACAACGACGACAACGACACGAACTACCACAAACCACCACGCCACACGCCACCCGACCCACCACGACCCACGAACCACCACGACCACCACGACCACCACGACCACAACGACCACCACGACCCACAACGACCACAACGACCACCACGACCATCACGACACCACGACCACCACGACAACGACCACAACAGCGACAACAAGGACAGCAACGCCAACAACGACAACGACAACACAGACGCAAATATGAACATTTTTCATGATTCGGGCTGTCGAATTTTCGCATACCAATTCTTTGCACACACTTGCTCAGAATGGTAATTGCGAATTTTGTTGTGGAGCGCGTCTTAGGTGCAAAAACAACTCAGTTACACCTGACAGGAATGGATCGGTGAAGAGACCCGACAAAGTCTCAAGAAGCTACCATCGCCATAGTCAGTGCTAGATGAAATGAATTGGGAAGTGACCCTTCCCTTTCAACAGAACCATATCGCTCCCAAATTGACAATAATCTCCAGGGAATCTCATTGAGAAGCATGAAGTTCACAAAGACTGGACTACATGGAGTGTTCTGGAACACCAAGGTGTCGGGCCAGGGAAGAGGAACAAATTGCTCCCCTTCATGCTCAGCAACAAGGTGAGCATCGCTGGATTGCCCTGGCTGAAGACGGGCATGGAGATCCTCGAGGAGAAGTATTGGTACCCGAGGGACTACTTGGTCCCTGCATACCCTTGTGGGCTGGAAGGGTTGGAAGAGAAGCGCCCGGCCAACTATGATGACTTCGTGGTCCTCACACGGGTCGTCTACTCCAGGTTGAAGGAGGTCTTCTATGAGGAAGGCCGCTGGGTAACTGGGCGTGGGCCCCTCTTACTTCCAGAATTGTATAAGCTCTGGACATAGCACTCAGAGAGAAATTGGATAGTGTCGCTGGCTGCAGCGTCCGGAGTGCCCAGGAGGAACGCCAGATGCCTGGCCGATGGGCTGTGAAAGAAATCGGGGACGAATACGTCCGATCAGCCCAGTGCATTGTTGCAAGGATCCAGTGCGACCTCCTGGAAAGACTCAGGTCGGACCGTGAGTGGGACCTGAGGAATGCAGGGCTTGAGGAGGTGAGGAAGCACATCACCAAGGCGAACTACGACGGTGCCCGAGGTCTGGACTCCAGCTGGTTCGGATGGGACATTCCTCGGCCTTATACGGAGGCCGGATGGCGTGAAGCCAGATGAGATGGGGCAAGACGTCCCTGAGCCATCGCAGGAGGACCTGCCGCCAACCCAAGAGCTCATGGAGGAGAGGGTCCAGGCAGACGACGTGGGCAGTGAAGAGGACGACATTGATGTGAAGGCAAAGTTCTTCGTGTCCATCAATGTCAGGATCCGACATAGGAAGCTCCGTATCTGGGGCAAGTGTGGGACAAAGCCTGGACAAAACTTCTCGGCATATGAGCCCCACAACAGCTTTAAGGGCGTGAAGTTCAATTCAATTTGTGGGCACTGCTGGAAAGGCAAGGACCCGCGTGAAGAAGAAGACAGCTCTATTACAACGAGCTCAAGCGACATGGACTGAACCGCGGTGAGTTGACAACAGGGTTCACGGCGAGTAGAGTTGGCATGCACATAGCTTGCATGATTGGGAAGGGTGTGGTTAAGTATTGACCAGGGAAACCCAGGGAACCCAAAGAAGAGTACTGTGACAACACTGGGAAGGACTAAGCATTGGTCCAGTGAACCCAGGCCAAGCTATGGAGCAGCTCTTGTAGTACTCATAACCCGGTAAAGCATTTACTAGGGGCAGCTTGGGGGAATTGATGCGATTTCTCTGTCATGGTGTGGAAGGGACACAACGGGAAATTTGTGCATCCGAAGACCTGTGGGGCCAAGAGAAACACGGACAGAGAAGTAACCAAGCATCATGCAGAATTTCCCCCGTCCACCTTTCCTAAGGGCAGGCTTGGGAACTTAATGCGATGTAGTCGCATTACATTACCACAGTCAGATATCCGCACGCGGGTGGCGGGCAGTGCAGCCATGCCCCTACTGGCGCTGTCGGATGATGAGGTGGAGCGGGCCTTGGACCAGGCGGACTCTGACCTCAAGTACTTGTTGTCAGAAGTCGGGGTGCCTGAAGAAGTGCAGGCGGCACTTTATCATATAGGCTTCACCTCTTTGAGGTTGTTCTCGGGCATAGATGAGAGCAGAGCAGAAGTGAGGGCCGCAGTGAACGCAGAGATAGGCCTGGACCATACCGCAAGCAATGCGGAAAGGCGATACACAGCCCTGGTTCTCAGTGCATGGGAAACAGCGAGGACCCAGCAGAGGTCAAATGATGAGTCAAGAGCTGAGGCCAGGACTGCTATGATCCCTCGGCCAGTGCCCATCAATGAGCACGCCATGCTGAGGGAGGCGCTGGAAGCCCATATTGGCAGGTTGAAGGACTACGAGGTGCCCTCCAAGAACCTTATTGCGTCCAAGATGGACGACATGGAGACCAACATGCCGAGAGTCGCCGATTTACGAGACGTATCATCAACGGAAGATGGAGAGGTCGACCTTTTGCAGGGCAATTTGGATGTAGCCACAGGGACATTTAAGATGAAGGCAGCCAGGAACACAGTGTGGATGCCCAAGGCCCCAGAGGAGCTTCGATTGAGGCACAGAAGGCTGGGGATTGCTTGGGAAATGGCCCGCACCAAGCATTTGAATAGAGTTTGGCTGCAGGGACACCTCATCGAGGCGTTTAGACAGTTGTCAGACCACATATTGGGTCGACACGTTTCCGGGCTGGCGCTCCCGCAGGAGCAGAAGCCAAAATGGGCAAGAGATCCGGAAGAAGGCCTACCAATGGGTTAGGAAAGGAGACATCGCCACCCTCGAAGAGGGTATCCTGCGAGGCATCAAGGACGCCGAGGTAATGAACCTACAATTCGTGGTTCCAGTTACCACCACTGTGGCAACGAGTTCCATTGGAGGGGGGGCTCGCCAAACCCAGCGGCCTGCGCGCCGGCAGCCGCAAGGCTGCAGGGAAAGGCAAGGGACGTGGAGGGGGCATACGCCCCACCAAGAAGTTGTTCGTGAAGACGCCAACAACGGCAAGTGCACCGCAAAGAGCTGCAACTTCGTGCATCAGTGTCAGCGGTGCCTGGGAAGTCACTCCAAGTCATCATGCAGATCAGGCGGCAACGACACAAGCAAAACGGCCACGCCGAATGCAGGCGCCGGCGACTGAGAGAAGGTAAAGCCTGTTTCATCAATGCAAGTGTCACCCAAGCCTAAAAGGCGCTTCAGGGTACTGTACCTCTTCTCAGGGGCCCCTCGCAAAAGCGATGTGCGCAGCTGCATCCAACAACTTTGTACAGCCAAGGGAATTGGATTGGAAATGGTTGAGGTTGACCTCATCTTGAGGGACGGCCATGATTTGTATGATGATGAAAAGTTGGAAGAAATTTCAAAAAGGGTAAAGCAAGGCGATTTCGACGCCATCATTATGTCACCACCATGTTCCACGTGGTCCCGGGCAGTATGGTCTAGCAAGATTGGACCCCGGCCGGTCCGATCCAGAGATTTCCCACACGGCTTTCCGTGGCTCAAAGGCGAGCTCAAGGAGAAAGCTGAGATTGGTAGCAAATGGGTCATGAGATGTGCGGAGGTCTTGGAAATTGCTCCACCATACACCGTTTGTGCTTGGGAGCACCCAGAAGATTTGGGCCGTTCGAGAAACGGCGTGCCCGCTAGCGTCTGGCACTTGGAGGAAGTCAGACGGGCAGCAAAGAAGCGACGTATGGAAACTAGTGCATTCCATCAGTGCACATACGGTGCAGACTATCCAAAGCCCACAAGGCTGCTGAGCGACGCCCATGGGTTGCTGCAGTTGGGTTATCCAGGATGGCCAGTTCTCAACAAAGAGCTTTACTATTTGGGTCCATTGCCACGGACTTGTGGCCATGAACCCCCGCCGCTCATTGGCACAAATACGAACGGTGGCTTCAAAACGGGCCCAACAGCCACATACCCCACAGAGATGAACCAGATGCTGGCGAATCTTGTATTTCTCCATTGGTTCAATCAGGCTCTGAAGCCTGCGGAGGGGGGCACCAGCAACATGGACGCAGAGCCTGCAGGGGAAAGAAGGGCGGAGGACCCAGCCTTGGACTTGGTGCCAAAAGGTGTGGAAACCCAAGAAGCAAAGCATGCCGAAAAAAGGCAAGGAGCGGCATACGCCATGAGGAACCTGGAGGGAAAGGTCTATCATGATGGAGCAGGACTTTGCTCGGAAGGTAACAAGAGGCCGGCCTTCAGAAAGGTCTCTGCGATGGTTTCGCTTGGTGAGAAGTTCCTCCAGCTTACATCAGAGGAAGACATGAGGAAGGACCTATACAGGTTGGCGCTGGGGACATGTCATAATGTAATGGCCCTCCGTTCCGGAAGGAGGTGGTTGAGAGAGCAAGGCAGGCCTGGCTGGAGTGCCTAGCAGAGAAATCCGGCCTGGCAGTAGAACAGCTGAGCACCGTGAAGCCGAGACAGCCATTCTTGTTGGCGGCCATTGGAGAGCACTTGAAGGCCATCGAGGACCCAGATGCCGGAGCGTTTTCCCCAGACCCAGGCACCTTCAGAACCGGGGTGCCGCTCGGGCTGCAGGGGATGCTTCGGGTGCCGGCAGTATTTGAGGCCAAGGAGAAATGAAGGAAGTACGAGGAGGTACCTTGGCCGTCAGACAAGGAGAACTACCTGTCAGCTGCCGAGAATGCGGTTGCGGTTCAGGGGCAGTTCTGGAAGGAGGAAGCCTTGGACGCCATGGTGGAGGTTGGTGAAGAGGAGGCCAGGGAGCGGTATGGAGACGGCGTAGATGATGGAAAATGCAATCCCAGACTGCGATGAGGATAATGCTTGGTTTCTATTGCAGGGTCATTGTCACGTAAGGTGCAGAAGTGTAACTGATACATCGGGGCTAGTTGTGCCCCACAAGGAATACATGCACATGATACACATGGTTGAGGGACCCCTTTAATTCCTGCCAAGGTTCGATGCAAGAGGAGCCGAGGCCATCGCAGAGTCTAAGGAAACGAACACCCAGAGACGAGCTTTGAAAGGAATCAAAACATCAAAAAGAACATCAAGTTTCAAAAAGGAAGTCTCAAAATCCAAAAACTTCACAAAAAGTTACCACAGCTCGTGCCAGAGGTCAAACTAAAGCCTGAAGAAAAATTGGAAGGAAATCAAACATAACATTTTCTGTGGTAACATGTCTCAGATCAAACGCAGAACAAGAACAGTCAAGAGGAAACCTTCGACGCAAAGAAACTATGCAAAGGACATTCAAACAGAAAACCTCAAACCGTACCCCGGTGGAAAGCCAAAGAGAGTGCAAGACTTCAAAAGGAAGTCAACAAGTTACAGCACTTCACAGAAAGAACATTCAAAAGGAAGTCCATAAACATCTTAAGAGAGGACATTCTGGAGACAAGCAAAACAAACGAAACTCTGGGAGGAAAAACGAAAGCCTAAAGAAACGGAAACAAAGAAAAAGATAGAAAAAGTTCAAAGCGAAAGGATTTGGCAGCAATGAAGAATGCTCAGCGATTTCTGAGCACCAAAGTAATAGAAAGTGTCTAAGAGCAGTGCCTGCCCAGGTTCCCTCGCACAACCTGTGTGCTACAAAGCAAATCGCAGCGAGAACACATTTACATAAAGCGTAAAGAGTTGCAAAGGTTCATAGAGATTCATCAAGCTTCACGAAAATCCATAAAAGTTCATAAAGTCCGAAGGAGTGGTTTCATGTATTGAGACGAATCAAGAACCACATCTAACGGCTGAGTCTCAAATTGTGTTTTACGATGTCTCATTGAGTTCCGTGAGAAACCTGAGAAATATGCGAGCCAAAAAGGCGGGAGACGACACGAATTGCACGGTCAGCGCAGTTGCAACTCAGTGTTGAAGGAGGCGCTCCACTTCCGGAGCTGAGGGAAAGTCAAGTAGTTCTCGGGTCTGTGAAGCCAAGAGGTGGGAATCTCAAAGTGTCACTCACAATATCTCAAAATGGTGAATATGTTGCTGTATTGCTGTATGGGTTGCTGTTTGGATCTCTGTTTGGATTGCTGTATGTATTGCTGAATGTATTTCTGCATTTCGAAGGATTGCTGTCTGAATCTTTTGGATGAATTTTCTGCACGGATAGCGGCGTGGATCGCTGAATATATTGTTGTATGTACTGCTGTGTAAATTCCGCACGGACAGTGAATAGCCGAGAGATTGGAGGGTGTCGTTTGAGTCAATGCTCCTGTCAGCTTGATGATCTCCCGCTAAGAGACAAGCTTGAAAACAGGATGCTTCATCGCTTTCCGCTGAAGGCTTTGGGCTTAAGGGGCGCTGCAATGTATCAGCGCACGCCAGAACCCCGGAAGAACCCAGGAAGCTACCACCAACCACCAATGCAATTTTAAGTCCCTTTCACGTCCATCATATTCCTAAATATCCAAGATGCATAAAATGCACTCGGGTAAACCAATGCATTATATGGCAATCCATGCTGCAAACACACAGCAATCCCGGCAGCTGTCCCTACAAAAATACGCACAGCCAAATCTACAGCAACGCAATACGTTCAGCAATCTGTACAGCAATACATGCAGAACATCGCAATACATACAGCAGTCCATACAGCTGAACATCATGCATCCTCGTGGCGCTGCCCTTAGTTCCGATTCGTGCCCTTGATCACTGACAGCATTTGCCAAGGGCCTTGCCATGCATTTGCACCTTGGGAATGTTCCTGCCAAGGCCCGTCTACTGTGTATGTCGAAGACCTCACACCGGGCCAAGGAACCCTGTTGGAGGCAGCCATCGACCTGAGAGTGCCAGTGGTTGCCTTTGGCATCACAGAGACGCATTCTGAGATGTTGGAAGACAGGCTGACAAGCTACTGCCTCCAAAAGTTGGTTGACAGCTCGCACACGCTGTACCGACAGGAAGCGGAGCAGTACCTCAATGGTGACGGAACTTGGAAGGAACCCAAGGAGGAGACGACGGAGGCATCGAAGAATTCCAAGAAGGTGGCCACCAAAGCCAAGAAGAAAAGGAAACAAGCCACTGAAGACAGCAACGCCGAGGAGGAAAATGACAAGGAGGACGAGGAGGAGGAGGAAGAAAAGAAACCGGCGAAGAAACCGACGACGAAGAAGCGCAAGGCAAAGAAAAACGAAGAGTCGTCAGAAGATGAGGAGTGGTAGGTGTCTCTCACGGTTGGACCTGGGGACATAGGTTTCTCACGGTTGGACCTGGGAACTTATGTTTCTGACGGTGGGACGTGAAAACATGGCTTGGTAAGACAACGTTGTTTTCTCTAAGCTGTGTATGATGGGCTAGAATTGTGTGAGCCCTATGTCCAATTTTGACGGTCCATTTTTTTCAAATCTGAGACGATTTTGGCGGAAACCGCGGTGTCACAGCTGACGTCAGGGAAGCAGGACGAAAAATAATTCTATTGAGTTTGCCGCGTGCTAGTTATTTTTTGCTAGAACGTTGTTATGCAAACAGGTATCATGTCAGCATTGTGTTGCACGCCCTTTTGTTTTGTTTGTTTGGTTTTGATTTGGAAAACAGGCGTCAGGTCCACATTATTGCGGGGTCAGGTGAGACGGTGTGTTTGTGTTCATGTGGCTTTGCGTTTTGCATTTATGGCTTTCAGCAGTTTCCTTTGCGTCACGGTTGGACCTGCGCATCCATTGCGCGTCGTTGCCCCTGTCGGTCGTCATGCCCAGCAGTAAGAAGGCCAAGACGTCGTCCCACGTGACTGGCATTTCCAACAAGGACTACCAATGGTTTCCGGAGGAGTTTGGAGAGCATCATGGCAAACATGAAGTCTGGGTGGCCGAGATCCCGTTTATCGGGTTGAAAACATTCACGTGTGACACCTCAGGCTATCTGTGTGGTTTGCAAGAGTTGTTGCATTGCAATGTTTCACTGCATATTTTAGCCTTTTCATGTTTTTTCCTTGTTTTTGCCAGGTCTCACGTTGGATGATCTGAAAAAATGGATCTCTGACCTGGAGGTGCAGCATGAGAACGTCCCACCGTCGTTCGCGGGGAAGAAGATCCGGGACGTGATCCCATTGGGGCATTGGGGGTTCCACTCCACAATCAGGTCCACACCGTACAATATGCCCATCGGGGCATTGACAATGCAAGATATGCCGCTGAAATTTTCATGGCACTGGTGGAGCCCAAGCTACCAGGAGCACGGTGAAGACTGGGAGTTCGCCCTGTGGCGCTGACGTGCTCACGGTGGGACCTGGCACAGATTTGTTCGTGGTTAGACCAGATTTGTTCACGGTGGGACCTGACAAATCAGGGTGTTTTTCCGCGGCAACAGGTCCACGTGCGATTGTTTTTGGACCGCATCTGTCGTCATGATGGCTTGCCTCTGACCTAATAAGAGCTTGCCTGAAACTCAAGGGCCATCGCTATCGGTGGTGTTGAGGTTTGGCACAGAAATGCAAACATGCGCATATTTTGAAAAAAGGACAGAGCGCTGGCTATTATTTTTGATGCTTACTATTATTTGTATTTGCGGTATGTTTCTGCAGCGTTGGTGTGTGTCTGTGTTAATAAAGTTACTTTGCATACAATTTTCCAATTTCAATGTCATTGCAAGTAAAAT